AATTGACATTCTTCAAAAAGTGTGCGCCACTCAGGGGCTAACAAGTTTTGGCTGATATTGTTTTTTTTCACATGTGGCTTCAATAGCGCTGGGATAAAGTGCACCAAAGAGCGTTCAGTCAAGTTTGGGGGCAAAGACACTGTGCTCTTGTGCCTCAGGTATTGGGCCAGCCTGGTGTCAAGTTGCTTTGATTCAACTTCGCATTGGAATCTTTGGAATGACACCGTGTTGCCAGACTGAGGGAACAATTCGCTGCCACGGCTGGAAGACAGACGCTTTTTGAGGTTTGCTCAGTTTGCTCTGGATTCCCGTCTCTAATGCTTTTTGCTTGATTTGCCTCCTGCGCATGAAAAAATGGCAGCCCGCGACCAGCACGAATTCTCTTCTCAACGTTTTTTTGGTCGAAGCATCTTTTTTTGTACAGCATCCAGGCGTTGAAACTTGGAAAAGAAAAGAACAGCACCGGAACCACTTTTCCAGGGATTCGGGCAATTTCAGCTATCTCAATTTCGTGCGCTTTCGTGCGCTGACTTTAGGTGACATTTGCTTCGAACAAAATTGCAAGAAAATGATCGGAAGGTGGCCATTCCTTGCTTTTCCAGGCTGGATTTTGAACACTTAGAATGGTTTCAGTAGAATGGTTTCAGCAGCTTTTCCATCAGTTTTGTTCGAGGATTGTAGGAACCAATTTCGTGCGCTTCGTGCGCTCTATTTTTTCCACTCATTCGATGAACTTCAGGTGTGTAACCCAACATGTCCTGAAAATTCTTGAAATTTGGAGATAAATGATTGTTAAAAAAAGATTTGCGCCAAGTTTTCTGATTTCGTGCAATTTCGCGGTTTTTCCGGGCTTCTTTTTTTTTGGTAGTTCAAGGTTTCTGCCTTCACTGTCACGTGTTGCCCGGCTGCACAAGAAAGATAGACATTTGTTTGAGGACGCGTCTTTTCAAAGTGGATGCGGAGCAAAATCGGTTTTTGCTTCGATCTATTTTGTGTGTTTCTTTCTTGGTTTTGTGATTCGCGCGGGGTGCACACGCTTGCCGCCAGTATGCCACAAAGACAGTTTGCTGCGCTTTGACTTTGCTGGCGGGAAAATCTTGGGCCTGTGAGCCGCAGAGCCATAATGAGTTCTAACTCCACAGGAATTCCTTTATATCGTTTTGCCTGCTACCGGGCGAGATCAGATGCGGGAGCAGTGAGCAAGTGTTTGAAAACTTTGGAAGCTCCAGTTTCATTTGACAGAGCGTGGGCGGGGCGTCGGCCCAGGGGCACTGGGGTAGGCTGGGATACGGCCAGTGCGCCTGACTAACCCAACTAAATATTGTTCCCCTTGCCCTGTATGATTGCTTTGAGTGTGTGGCATGATGGTATGTTTAATTGAGCATGTTGCTGATGTTAGTTTTGCTTGTTCAAGTGCAGCTGCAGAGTTGCTGCTGTGGCAGCTTGGTTTATGTGGAAGGGCAGCTGCTGAAAAGCGCCCGCCCGCCCGCCCCAGTTGAGGGCATGTGTGGCTTGTGCTAGGGCCCAAGTGCCCAGTTCTGGGATTGGGCTGGCTGCAGTCTGCTCACTGTCCAGTGGGCTGGCTGCAGCCATGCCTGTGTGGCAAAGGTTTATGCAGGGAAAAGTGTGTTGCTGCAACACTGTTGCTTGTGAATTTAGTTTGGGAACCTATTAATAGCGGGTTGTCGTTCTGACGTGTGAGTGTCATGTTGACTAAGTTCGCAGTGTTGCTTTTTTGGGTGCCTGCTGCAGCTCAGAAGCTGACAGCCTTTGACGCAGCTTCTGCTTCCAGCATCTATTCCACAAAATCCTTTGGGGCGGACCTGGCAACGCTTGAATCATTTGGGCGCAGCTGTTGATGTGCTCAGTGCTGCAAAAGCCATGTGTTGGTGCATTTCTGTCTTGTGCCAGGTATTGGTGCAGCGCTGGGTCCGGAGACTTGGGAAAGGCAGGTTTTGTAATCACATTGTATTGCGGATGAACGTTTGGCAGGAAGCATGGCCCGAGCGAAATTGTTTCTTGGACAGGATCATTCACGGCCAGACGGCACTTGCTCGGGGTGAATCTTCGTTGGAGCTACGCTCCAGCAGAGGTGAAGGTACTGACGAGTTTGGACGGGGGCAATTTTGAAGAAGCTGCGGGATGGCGCCAGATCGCCCGCAGCGAGCCAAGTTTCGAAGAGACAATCATGTTTGCTGCTCCCGTTGCAGCGAAAGCAGTCAAGGTTCTGATGCGGGGAGCCAAACCATGGGGTTACTTTGGCTTGTCAGCTGCTGCCGGTGTGAGCGCGCCTTACTCCTTCATGCTGGTCAGTGGCGGCCCGGCAGTTCGCGAGCAGTGTGTGGTGTCTTCTGGCCACGGCCTGACCGCAGAGCCGTGCTTGGATGCAATTGTGGCAGGAGATGGCCGTGATGTGTTCACATTTACCAGCGAAGGATCGTTGCAGACTGCGTCCGGGTATTGCGTGCGCCTGGCTGGCGACAAGCTTGAATTGGAAAAGTGTGACAGCAGCACAGGGGTGTGGGAAGTGAGCGCAGATGGGCAGGTCAAACAGGGGAACATGTGCTTGGCTGTGGATGGCTCTGCTGTGCATGCCTTGGACTGCGACGAAGCAGCATCTCTCGGCGCAAGCAATTTCTTTCAAGTGGCTGTGCCCGCCTATGACCCAAAGGCCGTGGTTGCTGTGCGTAGCTTGGGTGAGCTCTTGCGCGGCAGCCTCGCCAGGCAAGGCAAGCTGCTGAAGGAGTTGCAGGCTCTGCTGCCCAAGCTTGCCACCTGCAAAGCGAAAATCAGCTTGGCGAGCCTGCCGAACCGAGCTTCTGGATTGCAAGCAGCGGCAGGGATCATATCCCTTGCTTCGCGCAATGCCCTGAGTTCACACGCTGACAAGGAAAGTTTGGCAGGCAAAGTGGGGGAGCACTTTGGGGTGAGCCAGCATGAGCTCAGCTCAACGGCGGCCGCTTCCGCAGAAGCTTTGGCCGCCTTTCGCAAAGCTGCTCGCTGAATGCTTCTGATTCATTACTAGTTGTGACAGCTTGTTGTGAGCAGTTGCCCCAAGAGCGGCAAGCGCCTGGTTTGGTTTGTGGTTGAGCAAGGAATGCAAGATAAGGACTTGTTCTTGCTTAGTTTGCCAAAACAGTAAAACAGTTTCTTTCAGCTGGGCGATAGCAAGTTTCGTTATTGCTCTGCTCTTGCTGGGACAAATGCGCATGCAACTTTTTAAAATGTTGCTGGCAGAGTAGTCATTACCAAGTGTCAGAGAAATGAGCAAATTGATACTTTCTACCAGGAATAAGAAATTAAAGTTGGAATTCCTGGGGCATGAAAATTTGTAATGTTTTGCGATGGTGTTTTTGGATCCGGGTGAAAAAATTGACATTCTTCAAAAAGTGTGCGCCACTCAGGGGCTAACAAGTTTTGGCTGATATTGTTTTTTTTCACATGTGGCTTCAATAGCCGCAATGCTGGGATAAAGTGCACCAAAGAGCGTTCAGTCAAGTTTGGGGGCAAAGACACTGTGCTCTTGTGCCTCAGGTATTGGGCCAGCCTGGTGTCAAGTTGCTTTGATTCAACTTCGCATTGGAATCTTTGGAATGACACCGTGTTGCCAGCCTGAGGGAACAATTCGCTGCCACGGCTGGAAGACAGACGCTTTTTGAGGTTTGCTCAGTTTGCTCTGGATTCCCGTCTCTAATGCTTTTTGCTTGATTTGCCTCCTGCGCATGAAAAAATGGCAGCCCGCGACCAGCACGAATTCTCTTCTCAACGTTTTTTTGGTCGAAGCATCTTTTTTTGTACAGCATCCAGCCGTTGAAACTTGGAAAAGAAAAGAACAGCACCGGAACCACTTTTCCAGGAATTCGGGCAATTTCAGCTATCTCAATTTCGTGCGCTTTCGTGCGCTGACTTTAGGTGACATTTGCTTCGAACAAAATTGCAAGAAAATGATCGGAAGGTGGCCATTCCTTGCTTTTCCAGGCTGGATTTTGAACACTTAGAATGGTTTCAGTAGAATGGTTTCAGCAGCTTTTCCATCAGTTTTGTTCGAGGATTGTAGGAACCAATTTCGTGCGCTTCGTGCGCTCTATTTTTTCCACTCATTCGATGAACTTCAGGTGTGTAACCCAACATGTCCTGAAAATTCTTGAAATTTGGAGATAAATGATTGTTTAAAAAAGATTTGTGCCAAGTTTTCTGATTTCGTGCAACCTTGTGCAATTTCGCGGTTTTTTCCGGGCTTCATTTTTTTTTGGTAGTTCAAGGTTTCTGCCTTCACTGTCACGTGTTGCCCGGCTGCACAAGAAAGATAGACATTTGTTTGAGGACGCGTCTTTTCAAAATGGATGCGGAGCAAAATCGGTTTTTGCTTCGATCTATTTTGTGTGTTTCTTTCTTGGTTTTGTGATTCGCGCGGGGTGCACACGCTTGCCGCCAGTATGCCACAAAGACAGTTTGCTGCGCTTTGACTTTGCTGGCGGGAAAATCTTGGGCCTGTGAGCCGCAGAGCCATAATGAGTTCTAACTCCACAGGAATTCCTTTATATCGTTTTGCCGTCAAAGTGCTTTCTGCCAACCATGTTTCCCTTGTCCAGATCATGCCACCTCACGGCACGCTTAGATTTCATTTTTTCTGATCATTCGGTTGTTGCCTCTACCACCCACAGCGTCATTTTCACGGCTTCAAGGCAGACCCTGTTTCCACAAGAGCGAAAAACATTTTTTATTTTGAACGTAAAGTAGCCAATGAGCATGACAGGCATATCCATGCTCTTTAGTAGTCTGCTTGTTTTTTGCCTTATTTCTCTCTTATGATTTTATTTTTTTGGCTTATACTTGGAGGCTCTAGGCACAGAGACAAGGAGGGCCACAGAAGCCTATGAAATTTGCTACCGGGCGAGATCAGATGCGGGAGCAGTGAGCAAGTGTTTGAAAACTTTGGAAGCTCCAGTTTCATTTGACAGAGCGTGGGCGGGGCGTCGTCGTTCTGACGTGTGAGTGTCATGTTGACTAAGTTCGCAGTGTTGCTTTTTTGGGTGCCTGCTGCAGCTCAGAAGCTGACAGCCTTTGACGCAGCTTCTGCTTCCAGCATCTATTCCACAAAATCCTTTGGGGCAGACCTGGCAACGCTTGAATCATCTGGGCGCAGCTGTTGATGTGCTCAGTGCTGCAAAAGCCATGTGTTGGTGCATTTCTGTCTTGTGCCAGGTATTGGTGCAGCGCTGGGTCCGGAGACTTGGGAAAGGCAGGTTTTGTAATCACATTGTATTGCGGATGAACGTTTGGCAGGAAGCATGGCCCGAGCGAAATTGTTTCTTGGACAGGATCATTCACGGCCAGACGGCACTTGCTCGGGGTGAATCTCCATTGGAGCTACGCTCCAGCAGAGGTGAAGGTACTGACGAGTTTGGACGGGGGCAATTTTGAAGAAGCTGCGGGATGGCGCCAGATCGCCCGCAGTGAGCCAAGTTTCGAAGAGACAATCATGTTTGCTGCTCCCGTTGCAGCGAAAGCAGTCAAGGTTCTGATGCGGGGAGCCAAACCATGGGGTTACTTTGGCTTGTCAGCTGCTGCCGGTGTGAGCGCGCCTTACTCCTTCATGCTGGTCAGTGGCGGCCCGGCAGTTCGCGAGCAGTGTGTGGGGTCTTCTGGCCACGGCCTTAACGCAGAGCCGTGCTTGGATGCAATTGTTGCAGGAGATGGCCGTGATGTGTTCACATTTACCAGCGAAGGATCGTTGCAGACTGCGTCCGGGTATTGCGTGCGCCTGGCTGGCGACAAGCTTGAATTGGAAAAGTGTGACGGCAGCACAGGGGTGTGGGAAGTGAGCGCAGATGGGCAGGTCAAACAGGGGAACATGTGCTTGGCTGTGGATGGCTCTGCTGTGCATGCCTTGGACGGCGACGAAGCAGCATCTCTCGGCGCAAGAAATTTCTTTTCAAGTGGCTGTGCCCGCCTATGACCCAAAGGCTGTGGTTGCTGTGCGTAGCTTGGGTGAGCTCTTGCGCGGCAGCCTCGCCAGGCAAGGCAAGCTGCTGAAGGAGTTGCAGGCTCTGCTGCCCAAGCTTGCCACCTGCAAAGCGAAAATCAGCTTGGCGAGCCTGCCGAACCGAGCTGCTGGATTGCAAGCAGCGGCAGGGATCATATCCCTTGCTTCGCGCAATGCCCTGAGTTCACACGCTGACAAGGAAAGTTTGGCAGGCAAAGTGGGGGAGCACTTTGGGGTGAGCCAGCATGAGCTCAGCTCAACGGCGGCCGCTTCTGCAGAAGCTTTGGCCGCCTTTCGCAAAGCTGCTCGCTGAATGCTTCTGATTCATTACTAGTTGTGACAGCTTGTTGTGAGCAGTTGCCCCAAGAGCGGCAAGCGCCTGGTTTGGTTTGTGGTTGAGCAAGGAATGCAAGATAAGGACTTGTTCTTGCTTAGTTTGCCAAAACAGTAAAACAGTTTCTTTCAGCTGGGCGATAGCAAATTTCGTTATTGCTCTGCTCTTGCTGGGGCACATGCGCTTGCAAACTTTTTTTGGTGGCAGAATAGTCATTACCAAGTGTTTGATACTTTCTACTGGGAATAAGAAATTTAATTTGGCATTCCTGGAGAAAAAATTGACATTCTTCAAAAAGTGTGCGCCACTCAGGGGCTAACAAGTTTTGGCTGATATTGTTTTTTTTTCACATGTGGCTTCAATAGCCGCAATGCTGGGATAAAGTGCACCAAAGAGGGTTCAGTCAAGTTTGGGGGCAAAGACACTGTGCTCTTGTGCCTCAGGTATTGGGCCAGCCTGGTGTCAAGTTGCTTTGATTCAACTTCGCATTGGAATCTTTGGAATGACACCGTGTTGCCAGCCTGAGGGAACAATTCGCTGCCACGGCTGGAAGACAGACGCTTTTTGAGGTTTGCTCAGTTTGCTCTGGATTCCCGTCTCTAATGCTTTTTGCTTGATTTGCCTCCTGCGCATGAAAAAATGGCAGCCCGCGACCAGCACGAATTCTCTTCTCAACGTTTTTTTGGTCGAAGCATCTTTTTTTGTACAGCATCCAGCCGTTGAAACTTGGAAAAGAAAAGAACAGCACCGGAACCACTTTTCCAGGAATTCGGGCAATTTCAGCTATCTCAATTTCGTGCGCTTTCGTGCGCTGACTTTAGGTGACATTTGCTTCGAACAAAATTGCAAGAAAATGATCGGAAGGTGGCCATTCCTTGCTTTTCCAGGCTGGATTTTGAACACTTAGAATGGTTTCAGTAGAATGGTTTCAGCAGCTTTTCCATCAGTTTTGTTCGAGGATTGTAGGAACCAATTTCGTGCGCTTCGTGCGCTCTATTTTTTCCACTCATTCGATGAACTTCAGGTGTGTAACCCAACATGTCCTGAAAATTCTTGAAATTTGGAGATAAATGATTGTTAAAAAAAGATTTGCGCCAAGTTTTCTGATAACCTTGTGCAATTTCGCGGTTTTTTCCGGGCTTCATTTTTTTTGGTAGTTCAAGGTTTCTGCCTTCACTGTCACGTGTTGCCCGGCTGCACAAGAAAGATAGACATTTGTTTGAGGACGCGTCTTTTCAAAATGGATGCGGAGCAAAATCGGTTTTTGCTTCGATCTATTTTGTGTGTTTCTTTCTTGGTTTTGTGATTCGCGCGGGGTGCACACGCTTGCCGCCAGTATGCCACAAAGACAGTTTGCTGCGCTTTGACTTTGCTGGCGGGAAAATCTTGGGCCTGTGAGCCGCAGAGCCATAATGAGTTCTAACTCCACAGGAATTCCTTTATATCGTTTTGCCGTCAAGTGCTTTCTGCCAACCATGTTTCCCTTGTCCAGATCATGCCACCTCACGGCACGCTTAGATTTCATTTTTTCTGATCATTCGGTTGTTGCCTCTACCACCCACAGCGTCATTTTCACGGCTTCAAGGCAGACCCTGTTTCCACAAGAGCGAAAAACATTTTTTATTTTGAACGTAAAGTAGCCAATGAGCATGACAGGCATATCCATGCTCTTTAGTAGTCTGCTTGTTTTTTTGCCTTATTTCTCTCTTATGATTTTATTTTTTTGGCTTATACTTGGAGGCTCTAGGCACAGAGACAAGGAGGGCCACAGAAGCCATAATATGAAATTTGCTACCGGGCGAGATCAGATGCGGGAGCAGTGAGCAAGTGTTTGAAAACTTTGGAAGCTCCAGTTTCATTTGACAGAGCGTGGGCGGGGCGTCGTCGTTCTGACGTGTGAGTGTCATGTTGACTAAGTTCGCAGTGTTGCTTTTTTGGGTGCCTGCTGCAGCTCAGAAGCTGACAGCCTTTGACGCAGCTTCTGCTTCCAGCGTCTATTCCACAAAATCCTTTGGGGCAGACCTGGCAACGCTTGAATCATCTGGGCGCAGCTGTTGATGTGCTCAGTGCTGCAAAAGCCATGTGTTGGTGCATTTCTGTCTTGTGCCAGGTATTGGTGCAGTGCTGGGTCCGGAGACTTGGGAAAGGCAGGTTTTGTAATCACATTGCATTGCGGATGAACGTTTGGCAGGAAGCATGGCCCGAGCGAAATTGTTTCTTGGACAGGATCATTCACGGCCAGACGGCACTTGCTCGGGGTGAATCTTCGTTGGAGCTACGCTCCAGCAGAGGTGAAGGTACTGACGAGTTTGGACGGGGGCAATTTTGAAGAAGCTGCGGGATGGCGCCAGATCGCCCGCAGTGAGCCAAGTTTCGAAGAGACAATCATGTTTGCTGCTCCCGTTGCAGCGAAAGCAGTCAAGGTTCTGATGCGGGGAGCCAAACCATGGGGTTACTTTGGCTTGTCAGCTGCTGCCGGTGTGAGCGCGCCTTACTCCTTCATGCTGGTCAGTGGCGGCCCGGCAGTTCGCGAGCAGTGTGTGGTGTCTTCTGGCCACGGCCTGACCGCAGAGCCGTGCTTGGATGCAATTGTGGCAGGAGATGGCCGTGATGTGTTCACATTTACCAGCGAAGGATCGTTGCAGACTGCGTCCGGGTATTGCGTGCGCCTGGCTGGCGACAAGCTTGAATTGGAAAAGTGTGACAGCAGCACAGGGGTGTGGGAAGCGAGCGCAGATGGGCAAGTCAAACAGGGGAACATGTGCTTGGCTGTGGATGGCTCTGCTGTGCATGCCTTGGACTGCGACGAAGCAGCATCTCTCGGCGCAAGCAATTTCTTTCAAAGTGGCTGTGCCCGCCTATGACCCAAAGGCCGTGGTTGCTGTGCGTAGCTTGGGTGAACTCTTGCGCGGCAGCCTCGCCAGGCAAGGCAAGCTGCTGAAGGAGTTGCAGGCTCTGCTGCCCAAGCTTGCCACCTGCAAAGCGAAAATCAGCTTGGCGAGCCTGCCGAACCGAGCTTCTGGATTGCAAGCAGCGGCAGGGATCATATCCCTTGCTTCGCGCAATGCCTTGAGTTCACACGCTGACAAGGAAAGTTTGGCAGGCAAAGTGGGGGAGCACTTTGGGGTGAGCCAGCATGAGCTCAGCTCAACGGCGGCCGCTTCCGCAGAAGCTTTGGCCGCCTTTCGCAAAGCTGCTCGCTGAATGCTTCTGATTCATTACTAGTTGTGACAGCTTGTTGTGAGCAGTTGCCCCAAGAGCGGCAAGCGCCTGGTTTGGTTTGTGGTTGAGCAAGGAATGCAAGATAAGGACTTGTTCTTGCTTAGTTTGCCAAAACAGTAAAACAGTTTCTTTCAGCTGGGCGATAGCAAGTTTCGTTATTGCTCTGCTCTTGCTGGGACAAATGCGCGCGCAACTTTTTAAAATGTTGCTGGCAGAGTAGTCATTACCAAGTGTCAGAAAAATGAGCAAATTGATACTTTCTACCAGGAATAAGAAATTAAAGTTGGAATTCCTGGGGCATGAAAATTTGTAATGTTTTGCGATGGTGTTTTTGGATCCGGGTGAAAAAATTGACATTCTTCAAAAAGTGTGCGCCACTCAGGGGCTAACAAGTTTTGGCTGATATTGTTTTTTTTCACATGTGGCTTCAATAGCCGCAATGCTGGGATAAAGTGCACCAAAGAGCGTTCAGTCAAGTTTGGGGGCAAAGACACTGTGCTCTTGTGCCTCAGGTATTGGGCCAGCCTGGTGTCAAGTTGCTTTGATTCAACTTCGCATTGGAATCTTTGGAATGACACCGTGTTGCCAGCCTAAGGGAACAATTCGCTGCCACGGCTGGAAGACAGACGCTTTTTGAGGTTTGCTCAGTTTGCTCTGGATTCCCGTCTCTAATGCTTTTTGCTTGATTTGCCTCCTGCGCATGAAAAAATGGCAGCCCGCGACCAGCACGAATTCTCTTCTCAACGTTTTTTTGGTCGAAGCATCTTTTTTTGTACAGCATCCAGCCGTTGAAACTTGGAAAAGAAAAGAACAGCACCGGAACCACTTTTCCAGGAATTCGGGCAATTTCAGCTATCTCAATTTCGCGCGCTTTCGTGCGCTGACTTTAGGTGACATTTGCTTCGAACAAAATTGCAAGAAAATGATCGGAAGGTGGCCATTCCTTGCTTTTCCAGGCTGGATTTTGAACACTTAGAATGGTTTCAGTAGAATGGTTTCAGCAGCTTTTCCATCAGTTTTGTTCGAGGATTGTAGGAACCAATTTCGTGCGCTTCGTGCGCTTCGTGCGCTCTATTTTTTCCACTCATTCGATGAACTTCAGGTGTGTAACCCAACATGTCCTGAAAATTCTTGAAATTTGGAGATAAATGATTGTTAAAAAAAGATTTGCGCCAAGTTTTCTGATTTCGTGCAACCTTGTGCAATTTCGCGGTTTTTTCCGGGCTTCATTTTTTGGGTAATTCAAGGTTTCTGCCTTCACTGTCACGTGTTGCCCGGCTGCACAAGAAAGATAGACATTTGTTTGAGGACGCGTCTTTTCAAAATGGATGCGGAGCAAAATCGGTTTTTGCTTCGATCTATTTTGTGTGTTTCTTGGTTTTGTGATTCGCGCGGGGTGCACACGCTTGCCGCCAGTATGCCACAAAGACAGTTTGCTGCGCTTTGACTTTGCTGGCGGGAAAATCTTGGGCCTGTGAGCCGCAGAGCCATAATGAATTCTAACTCCACAGGAATTCCTTTATATCGTTTTGCCGTCAAAGTGCTTTCTGCCAACCATGTTTCCCTTGTCCAGATCATGCCACCTCACGGCACGCTTAGATTTCATTTTTTCTGATCATTCGGTTGTTGCCTCTACCACCCACAGCGTCATTTTCACGGCTTCAAGGCAGACCCTGTTTCCACAAGAGCGAAAAACATTTTTTATTTTGAACGTAAAGTAGCCAATGAGCATGACAGGCATATCCATGCTCTTTAGTAGTCTGCTTGTTTTTTGCCATATTTCTCTCTTATGATTTTATTTTTTTTGGCTTATACTTGGAGGCTCTAGGCACAGAGACAAGGAGGGCCACAGAAGCCAGAATATGAAATTTGCTACCGGGCGAGATCAGATGCGGGAGCAGTGAGCAAGTGTTTGAGAACTTTGGAAGCTCCAGTTTCATTTGACAGAGCGTGGGCGGGGCGTCGTCGTTCTGACGTGTGAGTGTCATGTTGACTAAGTTCGCAGTGTTGCTTTTTTGGGTGCCTGCTGCAGCTCAGAAGTTGACAGCCTTTGACGCAGCTTCTGCTTCCAGCATCTATTCCACAAAATCCTTTGGGGCAGACCTGGCAACGCTTGAATCATCTGGGCGCAGCTGTTGATGTGCTCAGTGCTGCAAAAGCCATGTGTTGGTGCATTTCTGTCTTGTGCCAGGTATTGGTGCAGTGCTGGGTCCGGAGACTTGGGAAAGGCAGGTTTTGTAATCACATTGCATTGCGGATGAAAGTTTGGCAGGAAGCATGGCCCGAGCGAAATTGTTTCTTGGACAGGAACATTCACGGCCAGACGGCACTTGCTCGGGGTGAATCTCCATTGGAGCTACGCTCCAGCAGAGGTGAAGGTACTGACGAGTTTGGACGGGGGCAATTTTGAAGAAGCTGCGGGATGGCGCCAGATCGCCCGCAGTGAGCCAAGTTTCGAAGAGACAATCATGTTTGCTGCTCCCGTTGCGGCGAAAGCAGTCAAGGTTCTGATGCGGGGAGCCAAACCATGGGGTTACTTTGGCTTGTCAGCTGCTGCCGGTGTGAGCGCGCCTTACTCCTTCATGCTGGTCAGTGGCGGCCCGGCAGTTCGCGAGCAGTGTGTGGTGTCTTCTGGCCACGGCCTTAACGCAGAGCCGTGCTTGGATGCAATTGTTGCAGGAGATGGCCGTGATGTGTTCACATTTACCAGCGAAGGATCGTTGCAGACTGCGTCCGGGTATTGCGTGCGCCTGGCTGGCGACAAGCTTGAATTGGAAAAGTGTGACAGCAGCACAGGGGTGTGGGAAGTGAGCGCAGATGGGCAGGTCAAACAGGGGAACATGTGCTTGGCTGTGGATGGCTCTGCTGTGCATGCCTTGGACTGCGACGAAGCAGCATCTCTCGGCGCAAGCAATTTCTTTCAAGTGGCTGTGCCCGCCTATGACCCAAAGGCTGTGGTTGCTGTGCGTAGCTTGGGTGAGCTCTTGCGCGGCAGCCTCGCCAGGCAAGGCAAGCTGCTGAAGGAGTTGCAGGCTCTGCTGCCCAAGCTTGCCACCTGCAAAGCGAAAATCAGCTTGGCGAGCCTGCCGAACCGAGCTTCTGGATTGCAAGCAGCGGCAGGGATCATATCCCTTGCTTCGCGCAATGCCTTGAGTTCACACGCTGACAAGGAAAGTTTGGCAGGCAAAGTGGGGGGCACTTTGGGGTGAGCCAGCATGAGCTCAGCTCAACGGCGGCCGCTTCCGCAGAAGCTTTGGCCGCCTTTCGCAAAGCTGCTCGCTGAATGCTTCTGATTCATTACTAGTTGTGACAGCTTGTTGTGAGCAGTTGCCCCAAGAGCGGCAAGCGCCTGGTTTGGTTTGTGGTTGAGCAAGGAATGCAAGATAAGGACTTGTTCTTGCTTAGTTTGTCAAAACAGTAAAACAGTTTCTTCAAGCTGGGTGATAGCAAATTTCGTTATTGCTCTGCTCTTGCTGGGGCAAATGCGCTTGCAAACTTTTTTTGGTGGCAGAATAGTCATTACCAAGTGTTTGATACTTTCTACTGGGAATAAGAAATTTAATTTGGCATTCCTGGGCATGAAATTTTGTAATGTTTTGCGATGGTGTTTTTGGATCCGGGTGAAAAAACTGACATTCTTCAAAATTCAAGGTGTGCAGCACTCTGGGGCTCATAAGTTTTGGCTGATATTGTTTTTTTTCACATGTGGCTTCAATAGCCGCAATGCTGGGATAAAGTGCACCAAAGAGCGTTCAGTCAAGTTTTGGGGGCAAAGACACTGTGCTCTTGTGCCTCAGGTATTGGGCCAGCCTGGTGTCAAGTTGCTTTGATTCAACTTCGCATTGGAATCTTTGGAATGACACCGTGTTGCCAGCCTGAGGGAACAATTCGCTGCCACGGCTGGAAGACAGACGCTTTTTGAGGTTTGCTCAGTTTGCTCTGGATTCCCGTCTCTAATGCTTTTTGCTTGATTTGCCTCCTGCGCATGAAAAAATGGCAGCCCGCGACCAGCACGAATTCTCTTCTCAACGTTTTTTTGGTCGAAGCATCTTTTTTTGTACAGCATCCAGCCGTTGAAACTTGGAAAAGAAAAGAACAGCACCGGAACCACTTTTCCAGGAATTCGGGCAATTTCAGCTAACTCAATTTCGTGCGCTTTCGTGCGCTGACTTTAGGTGACATTTGCTTCGAACAAAATTGCAAGAAAATGATCGGAAGGTGGCCATTCCTTGCTTTTCCAGGCTGGATTTTGAACACTTAGAATGGTTTCAGTAGAATGGTTTCAGCAGCTTTTCCATCAGTTTTGTTCGAGGATTGTAGGAACCAATTTCGTGCGCTTCGTGCGCTCTATTTTTTTTCACTCATTCGATGAACTTCAGGTGTGTAACCCAACATGTCCTGAAAATTCTTGAAATTTGGAGATAAATGATTGTTTAAAAAAGATTTGTGCCAAGTTTTCTGATTTCGTGCAACCTTGTGCAATTTCGCGTTTTTTCCGGGCTTCATTTTTTTTTGTAGTTCAAGGTTTCTGCCTTCACTGTCACGTGTTGCCCGGCTGCACAAGAAAGATAGACATTTGTTTGAGGACGCG